AAAAATGAATGATTCAAATAAATATAGTGGTCTTTTATCATTTAAGTCTTATCTGTGTGGGCAATAGAAAAAAGGTACTGTAGTAACCTAGATAAAATGTGGATAATGTATAATAAAATTATTGATTTTAAAGTAATTGTATTTTCTCACAAAGCTTCAAATATTTTTAATGCTTTAATGACCATTATTAGAGAATTTAATTGTGAGAGAAATTTGTAGTTTTAAATTTGACAATGCATCGATTAACAAAGTAGTAATTGATAAATTAGTTAGATACCTTAACTCTAATTTTGGGTATTATATTTCATATCTAATTTTTGTGAAATTTTTAATTTAATTGTGCAATACGGGTTAAATTAATTGAAGTTGAGATAGAAAAAAATTAAGATTGCTATGAATTTATATTATATTTGTCGCAAATATATGTCATTGATGGAACTCAACTTATATTTTGATATGTTCTTGTGAAGGTTACGAAAATGTTATTACTACTTATTAACATCCAATATTCACACAACCCAAAATCCAATTTAGAGCAGAAATGTGAAATTGCATTTTATGCGATAATTTTTTTATTTTTATTTTTAAAAAAAAGCTGTTACGATGCTAAGAATGCATGTTTGGTCATATATTATTCGACTAATCATATCGTTCTCACTCACTTTTATCATATTGCTAAAAATTTAAGAATGTATAAAGCTTCTGCTACCATAGTAGCAATGGCACTTAAGTTTAGAAAATATTGAGAGGATTTGCCTATGTTTTTCCCGTTAACTTATGTAACGGACCCTATGTTGTACAAAACTTGTTATATACCAAATTTCAAATACATTAAATTTTGGATCTCTAATAATTATATGATAATGTAGAGAGAAATTTATGCAAGATGTATGGCCAAATGATCGATAGGAATGTTTGACGGTCTCCCATAACAAGGCCTAGTGCTAATGTGTTGTCACAAGAAGTCGAAGATAACTAGTTAAATTAATTAACATTTGATTAGTTCTTGTAGAGTTAATTAATATTCTAGTACTTCTTCGCTTGCGCAATGTAAGTCGAATATAGGAACACATGGGATACAATTAAGAATTAAATAGGTATTTTGCTCAGACATGCTTAGTATTTTGGAGTCAAGAAGCGGAAAATTTAGACATATCTGGAGAATGAATGATTGTTAATATTCAATTGTTACCCTTATAGAATTGTAGCATTTTAGTCTACTTCTAGTGTATGTGGTAGGAATATTTTTTTTTAAATTACAATTCAAGATTTAAAGAAGACATGCTAGATAGCTTAACGTGTTTAAAGGATAGAAAAGGCGTAGATTTCTGAATCAAAGATAATGTCGACATATTAATAAGTGACGATCTAAAAGATTTGAAGTTCATCATAGTTGTAAGTATTGTGCATATTAATTTTCTTTAATATTCCTCTTTTTTTTTAAAAAAAAGTACATATAACAACTTGTTTGTGTATAATTTTAACTTCGATTTCATTAAAAGTAGTCGACTCCAAACTCAAAAAAGGAGGGTTTAATTTAAAAAAAAAAAAAAACTAGATATGAGGGACTCATGGTGTCACACTCCGAGTGTACTCCCCTTTCTGAGAGGCATGATGAGGTTGCCAATAACTATGCATATGACCTACATTATCGAAGAGAGCACCAATAATATAAACTTATACGAGTATTGTGAAACATCAGTGTGCGTGTGCTGGTTGTTTCAGGCTTGTCAACCTAAGTAAGGGGAGAATATTGCCTCGGAACATGGGGCCTTAGGGGTTGCATGGGCGGTTCATGATGGTAAGACAATGGACCCATTTTAATGTGTATTGGTTGTGCGAGATCTTTGACATGCGTTCTTGGGGAAAAGATATTGGGATTATGGATTGTTGCATATTTTCCAAGTGGGTCGGCAAGCAAGCGAAACTGAAGAAATCTTTGGGAATGATATATGATAAAGGTAGGCGTTGTTCGAATGTGCCTTCGTGCTTTGTCAAGTTTGTTTCTTCAAGCGTGGTGAGCATTGTTAAGGAATAAAATTACACATCGAATGAAGATGAAAACATAGACCAATTTATAAAGTTCGGACTACTCTTAATTATGTTGATCTTTTAAGATGGAACTCCAAGTTTTAATATGGTATCAGAATCTATTAAACTCTAACGAGCAATTCGATCCGTTTAAGATTAAAAAAAAAGAGCACGAGAATTTCAAGATTGATTTTTCAAAAAAATGAGCTACTATCTTGCGGGAACATGCTAAGGGATAAAATATCACAATGAATAAAGATGAAAATATAGATCAATTTATAAAGGTTTAAGATGCTTCTCTTAATAAGATTGACATTTTAAGATGGAATCTCAAATCTTAACACAAATGAATTGATTTGTTTTGCCTTGCGCAGTGGTGCTGTGACAGAAGTCGGACTCATCCAAAGAACTAATGCTTAGGGGGCATGGGGTGATGGCCGATCTCTAAGGTGGTATGTTAAGATTCACTTTGGGCAGAAGCAAGAGGTACCGGCTGGAAGGAATTGGGCCAAAAAGTGGAAATTCATGCAACGAGAGGGATGCACTACAGTGCGAAGCTCACTTCCTACTAGAGGGTGTGGTGCGGAATCGTTTAGAAATTCTTGTAATAAGAATTGAAAATAAGAATTATATTAGAATAATCTTGCTTTATATTGATATATGATTG